AGAGAGAGAGAGAGATCTAACATGTTCTAATTTGTTAACAGGCCGGGGGTTTCGACAAACTCCTGTTGGACAGCCTCTACGACGATGCTCAAACAAGGAGACAGCAGCAACAGCAATCAGGCTATGCAAACAACCCCTTCGAATCACAGGACCCATTTGCCATGTCCCACAATGTGGCCCCACCACCCAACGTGCAGATGGCCCTCATGGCCCAACAACAACAGATGATGATGTCTCCCTATCAACAACCTTCTTACCCTCCTCAAATGCAAATGGGTGGGTCCGCCAACCCTTTCGGGGACTCTTTGTCCACCCTACCCACAAATGCGCCCCCACAAGGAAACCCCAGCTTGCTTTAGGTACAAGAACATTCTTTCATTCATTCATGAATGTGTATTCTCTCTCACTCACTCTCTCTCTTTCTCTCTCTCTCAACCATTCATTGAAAGAGTTAGATGCCTTGCTCTCTTTCTTGAAAAGAAGCCAATAATTTATTGGTAGAATTACAATGGTCTTTTTCTTGCTCAAAAAGAAGCGAATGATTCATTGGTAGAAGTGAAATTCTGTCTCTCTCTCCATTGTTTTTGTAAATTTGTCGTGGTGCACTCACTGCATGATGTGTTGCTGCATTGTTATTGTACTGAGAAACACTGAAGATTTGGTTTTATTGATTTAAAGTATTCATTTTTCATTCTTTACTTTTTCTCTCTCATTGGGCCTGGGCTGTTTTTATTGGACGTTTAAGGATACTTGAATTCATGGACGAATATAATTGGAAAACATAAGAGTATTGAAGAAGGTTGCAGTCGAAACAGGAGGAAAATGTAACCGTATATGTGTGGTTGTGGGGCTTTTGGTTCAGTGTTTAAAGCAGTGAAAACACATTGAACTATAAGGTTAAGGCTTTGAATCCCCCCGCTCATAGTTATCCTGATGGGATTGGATCGGCCGGATTGCTAACCTATGCTTTGGTCAGCCTAGGTGAGAGTATAAACTAGTTTTGGTTGAAAACCGGTTGAAATCATTGTTTAACCTATATTGAGCAGTCAAACATACTGGTTTTGACTACTGGTTTTGACTAGTTAAATGACAAACAAGATTATAATATATGTTATTTTCAGATTGTTGTTTTTATCTTTTTCCTTATTTTCTTAAAATCCAGCTCAATTCGACCAATAGTTGGATTGACTTTGATTTTGATCAAACCCTTCACCACTTTGATGATCGGTTCGATTCTAATAACACCTTTTTATCTGCCTAAAAAATATGCAGTGTTTCTACTTGTATTTAATATAGAACAAATGTTAGCGCTCCCTCAAAAACAAACGGGATTGTATACAATGAGACAATTTGTCTTTGGAATAGGGAGGTTACAATTACTTACAACAATCTGATGTGAAATCTGATAGTTTGAGAAATTTTTTTTTGAATTTTGAGCATGGTTAATGAATTAAATTCAACAATTTCACATTCAATGGTCAAGATTTATTGTGACCCCTTTGTAGCAAAGGTAAATGGTTTCATTATATACTTTCTCAAAACGTTATTAGAATTTATATGAAAGAAAGCAATATATTTTTACCCAAGAAGAGCAATGGAATTGCGATTTTTTTTTTGATAAATGGAACTGAAATGTTGGATAATTCGGAGTTGGATTGATGTTTTATTCAATGGGCATTTTTTAAAAAAATTATTTTAGTATGCTTATTTTTATATTCGGCATTTGCTGCATTTGATTATAGATAAGCGATACAATTACGTATAAACGAGGAGCTTCTAACTCAAGTTCCATGACCTTCTCACACACACATACACAGAGAGAGAACGAGATTGTCGTAGGCTGAAAGAGGAAGAAAATAATTAAGAAAATTGGTCAGCAGATAATCAACAAATGGTGATGAATAAAGCAACCAAAATTTGTTTAGAAATTAGGCATTTTATTGTCTTTAAAAGGAGGAGAAAAGTGACACTTATAGGTTGTGCTGTCTACTCCGGTTAGACTTTAAAGCTGGCCGGGAAAAGTTTATATAATTACATACGCACATCAAAAACCTATCGGACAGGATGTTTTAATGTTGAAAAACCCTCTATTTGATCATCTCGACATCGAGATGTATGAATATATAAAAAAAAAAGTTTTTGAGTCTTAAAAATGATGCATCTTGCAACACATTATCTAGACCGTCCCATTTTGAAGATTTTCATATGTTAATAGATCTCTTTGATTTTAACCATGTTTGGAGTTTAAAATTTTATAATTAGATATGAAAATAGATTTTAAGATAATCTTAAGAATTTTTTACAACAAAATTGTTACATGTTATGATAAAATTTGGAGGTGCGCCTTAGTTGGATTGTTTAAAGTTGCAACCTTATAGAAACCACACTCTTCTTTTAATGCACATTTTTTTGTTGAAACAGGGAGAAATCATTGGTGTATTTTTAAGGGAAAATTACAAACAACCCTCAAGACTTTATATGCAAGTTACCCCGAACCAAACTTTTTTTTCACTTTTTACCCCAAAATATGTTTTCTTACCAAATACTCACCCAACCCAAAAAAAAGTCTAAACTATCATCCCTTACTTTTACCTACGCCTCTCTCTCCTCTTTCCCACGAAAAGGCGATCCAGCAGTATAATGTCGTTTCAGTAAATAACAGTGGCGATCCAGCAATACAAGTGGCAGTTCGGCACTGATAAAAAACAGTCTAACAATAGGCCCATGCGGTCTGGCACTGTCAAAGAGCAGTCCTGCAACAGACCCATGCGGTCTAGCAATAAGCTCAAAGTGTGGTTCTGCAATGTCAAAGAGTGGACCGACACTTTTTTTAGTTTAACGGGGTCCAGCAATGTCAAAGAGCAGTCCGACAGCTCATGTAAGCCCACGTCAATGTCGGGCCAAAATTATATTTTTATATACGAAAAAGGATATTTTCATAAAAAAATGTACCTTTTTTTCTTGGGGGGTATTTATTAGAAAAGTATATTTTGGGAAAAAAAAGTGAGAAAATGTTTGATTGGGGGTACTTGCATAGAAGGTCTAGTTTTAAAGGTTCTAGTTTATTAACTATTTAATATATATTTTTGACAAAATATGCGTAACTTTTATTGTTGACTAAGAAAAAGAAATTATATCATTAGAGATAACAAGAGAAGGCAGGGAGGCACCACCCATAGCCAAAGAATTTGCTTCACGATAAACATGGGAGAAAGTAACTGATAGAGATTCAACCAACTCCATAACCTGCAACGATAGGGATTATAGCTCCCTTAGAACTTTCTACTCTTTGTTGTACCATCTAATAACATTCAAAGTGTTCCATTCAATCCAACAATTTCTACCAAGATTCCTATCAACCAAGATTTTCACCTTGCTCAGTAAAGCATTAATTTCAGCAAAATTAGCAGTTTTAATCCCTATCGGACTGGCATAGGAAAATAGAATATTGCCCGAGCAATCACGTAAAACAGCACCAATCCCGACTACACTCGGATTACCCAAGGAACTACTATCAAAGTTAAGCTTTAAACTTCCAATAGAAGGTGCAGTCCAAATACTTCGCAGTCTACTTCTAACACACCCAAGAAGGAAAATGCTACTTAGATTGGCCATAACATCAACCTTGGAGACGCCCTACCCCTCTTTTATCACAGACAACCAAGACCAAATCGAAAGTTTGATGTCATTTAATAACCTCTCAAAAGGCAAAGAACTCCCCTCAAAAGTTATTCTATTTCTTTCCTTCCAAACTTCCTAGAGAATGACACCTTTCGATATTTTCCAAATAATTTTTCCAATCTTAGGCAAATGGGAAGTAGAAAATTGTGATATTAACCCTTCAACCGATTGAGGAAGCACCAAATTGATTCCGAGAAGTCCAAAGAGCTAGTACCAAATTCTCACCGTGAATGAGCAATGGATGAAAAGGTGCGCACCATATTCCCCGTCAGCTTTACATAAAAGACAAACATTTCGCGAAATTTTCCCCCTTTTGATCAGATTATCAATAGTCAAAACCTTATTCAAAGCCGCCAACCAAATGAAAATCTGAACTCTATGTTGAATGGGCCATTTCCAAATTTGGGCAATCTGAGGGCAAGACCATCTCCACCGATCATGAAAGAAAGAAGTGTAACACGATTTAACAGAGAAAACCCCATCACTCTCAATCTCCCAAATCATTTCATCCTCTGCATTCAATGAGATATAGACCTTATCCGGCAACTCCATCAATGCACACCATTGGGAAAGTACCACATTGCTCAAACGACTATAAACAAGGAAGATGTTCTATGGCGTAAGATGGCCCTTTCGCTCTATAGCCTCGCAAACGTTCAAATTAGATCGGGTCACTACCCCATATAGATCAGGAAAAACCGACTTCAATGGATAATCACCCAACCACTTGTGGTGCTAAAAAGAAACTTGCCTACCACCACCTATATTCCATCTGAAGTAGCTTGACTCCATGGGCCTGTAATTGTAGATAGCATTCCATACCTGAGACACCGATTTACCTCTTCTACCCCTAAGCCAATCATTAAATATGTCTATACCATACTTGGCCAAAAGAACTTGGAACCAAAGGTGATCTTTCAAATGAACGCTTGATTTTTCAAATGAAAGCTACGCCACCACCATTTACACATCAAAGCTTGGTTTACCAATCTAATCTTTCTAATGCCCTGACCACCTTCTTTCTTAGGGGTACAAACTGTATCTCACATTAGCAAATAAAATTTTCTTTTTTCCATAGTGGACCCTCAAAGAAAATCCCGCATCATTCTTTCTAACTTTTTAGCAATCGAGGTAGGCATATTAATCAGAAACATTTGATAGACTGGGAGATTAGATAAACAATATCTCAATAAGGTCACCCTCCCCCCCAAAGACAAATACTTGTACTTCCAGAGAGCTAATTTGACTTGGACTCTTTCAAGTACAATATCCCAGACTGCAATAGTAAGCCTTGAGTCAGAAATGGGAAGACCAAGATACGTGAGAGGGAAGGAACCAACCTTATCACCCATCGGATTTGTCAAATCCATTATCACATCCTCAAAGCAATTAATCCCAATTATAAATGATTTATGAAAATTAACTTTAAGGCCCAGTGTAACTTCACAGATTTATATGAATCTGGCTATATTAGAAACCTGAAGGGGCTCCGCATCACAGAAAATAAAATTGTCATCAGCATATTGTAAATGAGAGATAATAATACTAGAGTTAGAAATTTCAAAACTTGCAAAATGACCCAAACTCTCCACCCAACTAAACATCAGACTGAAACATTTAACATAGATCATGAATAAAAAATGAGAAAGAAGGTCTCCTTGATGCAATCTTCTAGAAGTACTAAAAAAACCAATAGGGTTCCCTTAAATAAAACTGAGAAATGCGCAGAAGAGAGACACCCAAAAATCCAACTCCACTATTTATCACCAAAACCCATAGCCCTAAGAATTTCTAGTAGAATTCTCCATTCAACTCGGTCATAGGCTTTCTCTATATCCAATTTAAGAAGAATACTTAGCTTCTTACTTAAAACGCTAGAATGAATACATTTTTGAGCAACAAATACATTGTCTGTGATTTGGCGATTCTAGATAAAGGCTAATTGAGAACTAGAGGTGAGAAAAAGAAGGACAATTTTTAGTCTTTTTGTCAAAATTTTTGCAATAATTTTGTAA